ACGAGTAGTAGTAATTTTTAACTTGTAATTTTCTTGATCTGTTCCTTAAATTTCACTCTGGCGCCATGTCTGGCGGTACAGAACTTTATGTATTTACATATGTATTTTTATTACATTTAAGGATGTCGAATAGAATGAGTTTCTTTGAAATTTATGTATGTCGTAAACATTTTTTTTCGGTTTGTTGCTTGCAAAGAAGCCAGAAAAATGGACGTCAAAAATAATTTCAAGGGGAGATCAAACACAAAATTATTGTGAAAATATACCGTGAGAAAGTTGGATACTCATTCCAAGTAATATTTAAACAAGAAAATCTATGTCGGTTTTTGTTTCAACACACAGTGATAAAATGCAAGCACAAAAGCGTACAAATTACGTCCCGGGTTGTAGATTTATGACATTATTTTGATTTTAGTTCTTATCTGCCGAACGCCATTAATAACTTCATGATAACTTTGTGTACAACAATGTTAGTTGAAGAACACCAACACTGAATACACAAAGACGATAGTGACAATTCTCTGCAGTGCAGTGAATTAAATTTAAATTACTGCGTATACTTTGCTTTACCACGAATTGTTTCTCATCACATTACTAGATTGGTTATTCACGTAGAGAACAATGAAGTCCGTGTATGTTCTAATTTAACAATGGGAAATTATCCTACCCTTCGCGGTCATTCATAAATAATTCAAAAGTAATGAACATCATCATGAAATCAACGCGAGATGAGCGATTATTGTTGGTAGATTACACAGGTTGAAGTGTGAAGGATGCCTTTAGCTTTTCCTTCGATTGGAGGTGTGCTGCGAACAAAATTAATGTGCTTATCTGACTAAAGCCGTCTTCTTCCGCTAAATATAATAATTTGTTATAACACCTGTCGCCGTCAAGGCGGGTTATTATTATCTCGGAAGTTTCTCTGATGCTTTCAATTAATAAATTAAAACAAGCTACAGTTTTGGATAAAGTTTCTGACTCATGCGACAAAGTGCAAAATAATAATAATTATTCATGCAGATGATGAATCATGTCAAAAGTGCCTTCAAGTCGACCGTTGCACTTTAGAAGATCACATGTGTTGTGTGACAATATATGCTATTCTAATGATTATATGTTGACGGTTTTGTTGGAAGGTAAACGCATAGACAATACCATTACTTGGAAGAAGTCACGAAGCTTGAATTATGTACCTTCCATTAAAAATTCAATAAAAGCACGTACGATTATCAAATATTCATTCGCCTAGGGATTCATGACGGGGAAATAAATCAATGCCAAAGCCGCTTTTATATTTTGACTCTGACAGTAAGTTTCCAGGAGCGTTGATTATTTTCTTGAAGGATTGCGGTAGTTGTCATACGAAAACAACAACAATCATTCTCGAGATTCTCTTCTCCCACACTATTTGCTTAGCATTCATTCATGTGCTCCAAGTGTTTATTTTCTTTATCGCAATTACACCATGTACCATTTATTTACAAACAATTTCAAGTGAAATGTTTACATTATCAATTATTTCAAATTTGACCCTCTCATTAGTTGGTGTTAACAGTCTCATAAGTCATGGTTAAATTTTGACCCCTTGTTCAGAATCACAAGAGAGCAAACACGTAATTAAGGCAAACCAGGTAGGCGATTAATTTAAAACGCGGTCCATCACTTACGTACGAACAAGTTGATTCCAACCGATTTCAGCAGTGAACGCAAACTTTTTAAACTGATTTAATTAAAACAAGAGCTGTGTTTTTGTAAAGCTACTCATTAATTGTGAAGGAGTTTTCTATTGTCGGGGAAATTTCAATCAAGCAATCAATCAAATTTTAGATTGATCGTCAGTGCCAGATGAAGTAAGTGGAGGTAGCAGTGCATTCAAGCGCAAGGGCATGCGAAATATTTTAGTTTTATTTTTCTATTTGATACCACGTTTTATTATTTACTAGTCGCTAAAATGTATGAAATCGATAATCAATTCTTCCGAATTTTAATTTTACAGTTTTTTAAAAAAATGACAACGGCATAAAAGAGATTATTTTCGAACTTCAGCCATTAGTTTGTATGTTTTTTCACAAAACTTTATTTTGAAAATTTTAAATGTTAAAACTGCGACCTTTTTGAAATAGCAACCGTAGATAAATAATTGTAGATAGTAAGTACACAAACAAATATGCCATATAAATATATAAATATTGGAGCATGTATGTACACACCCACAATGCGGCAAATACGCAACAAAAATAAAACGAAAAATGTTCAAACATTCGCCGGAATTTGTTGTTAAACGGGAAACATAGTTTGCGATCCATTTTAAGATACACCAAATTTTTTGTGTTGTTTGTGTCACTTAAAAAACTTTTCATGGTGTTATATTTTCGAAATTTTGTTAAAGGATAGTTCATGCTACCAAAATTCGACTAATTCTCTGAAAGTCTAACACTGACTTCAGTGTTAACTTAATTTTCGTCACTTAATTTCATGTCACTATAATAGGTTTTACTTAGCCGGCGAAAATTTTACACTATTGTGCAAGTTATTTTATCTTTAAAAATATTTACAAAAATTGGTTCAATCCAAATCCAGTTTTTTCGAAAATTTATAAAATTACATTTAGCAAAATTTTATTTATTTTATGATAACCCCCATAAGTAAAAAAAAATTGAAAATACCAGTAATAGTGGAAAACAGCAAAGTCAGACAATCTGCCTTAACGAATTCACCCACGAGCATCAGCGAGATATGAACACGTCGAAAATATTGCACAAAAAATATTTTGGAAAGTAAAATCCAGGCGAATTCATAAACAAAGAGTGTGTTATTTTATGAAATTTAGATAATCTTTACTAAGCAAAACGACGAGGGGACATCATCAAATTGTTGTTGGAGATGATTAGTGAAATTTTGGTTAGCGTTTTACTATTTACACGATATTCTTAATTCACACATAAAATTTAAGAATGGACGACAGATGCCAGACGACGGACGATAGACAGAAAACAGATGGAAATGGAAGGCTTATTGTTTCATACTGCAGGGGTCATGAAACGTCGAGAAAACATGAAGGGAACCATTCGCCGGATAGATCGTATTACAATACTCTCTTAACTAAGCTTTATGCAGTTATTTTATTCAAAAATATAAACGAAGATCTAAAACATATGAAATAAGGATCATTTTACTATTTAACTGGATGTTTATATGTCTCAAGAAATGTCAGCCAGTGGATCAATGATTATTGTACGTATGTAATGTAAACTGTGTATAATTAAGAAAAGAAAATTTCGTAAACCCACAAAATAGGTACATAAATATTACTACATTAACACAACATTAGATGATTTCTTGTAGAAACATTTTTGATGGTACATATAATTGTCACCAAAACGGAGATTACAAGCAATCTAATTGTTCCAAAATAAAGCTCCTTAATGTATTACTGGGATGATTTCCTTTGTTTTTGCCTTTGCAAAGAATTAACTATACCATATCCACCGAAGAATTAGGTCAGTTTGTTTTATGTACAACACTTATACTCGATTAGGTAATACCGTAGTTATTTCTAGACATATATATGTCTTTTTCATTTATTTAAATGAACAGCAATCATAGATAAAATTTTGCATATTACACGTAGTCTCACGTATTTTTATCACAAACATATGATTACACAGTTCCACTTGTGCCCCATCGTGAGGAAACGATGCACTTGTATGGTAATGATGCTTTTATCGCACTTGTAATGTACGTAACCACTTTATCGCCCATCCGAGAAGCGGTAATAAAAAACAACATTTTATTCAGTATCGCACCGTTTCTGGATGTAAAACATAGAAATCGACCAAAAATAATCTTCACTCCCATTGATGAGATTTCCAACTTAAAAATTTTAGCTGTATTCTTCGAAATTATGAATTTCTTTAGAATGCCACAACAGAATTTTATTCAGATCCCCAAATTTTGATTACTGATACAGATAATTCTATTTTGCTTCATATAATGAATCCTTAATTTAAACTGATTACTTAAAGCTAAATCCGTCCAAAAGGGCCAAGAAGTGTTGATTTTTTTGCAAAAAATGTTATGGTGGTTTTAAAATATTCATGTTGAATGAAGTGTCACTATTAGTTGTTATCTTTTTCGCAAGCAAAGGAGGACTTTAGTATTATCCTGTAATTTTATTGGATTTGCTTGCCGCGGCTTAAAATTAATTTGGAATAAACGATAGATCGTTACCGGGCAAAATGGAATCTGTTCCATCGTTAGTTACAAAGTTGAATTAAAACATTAAAAAAATAGAGACCAATTTTGATACAGTGCCCAGATAATATGATGACCACTTGACTATAAAACCCAAAAATTACGTAGTAAACTAAGAACTTGCATTAAAAGACTATTAAAAACGTTTCAGTAAGGGGTAAAAATAGCAAAATAAGTTTTTTTTAACGCTTTAAACATGCATCTGCTTTTAAAATGTAACATCCAGACGTACGTAACTATAATATAATTAGCTCGTTTTTCTCCGCAAGTCATGTTTACTCTCCTTCTCTCGAGTTTGCAACTTTTAAAGATAGCTCAATAATTATTTTCATTCCAACTTTACTGGTTCACGTAATCGAAAGCCATAAATCAGTATAATTGCGCACCACTCCGCGGTACTTCCTCCTCGTAACAAGACAAAAATATCCCGACCTCAGTTTTGTAAAAAGCAACGATCCCCGAACGGAGTTTACTTCCGACAATAAGAAACTCACTTCTAAAGCGGCCTTTTTGCGGCGAACTTCCTGGCAAGTGTTCAAGCGTGAACTTTTTCCCTCCACTATCGTCTACCCTGAGTAATTCCTCCGAACTTCAACTAATTAACAATCGTGCAAGAAGCTCGTAAAACAGAAACAACCCCTGACAAACTCATCGACCTGTTAGCCGTTTTAAAACTTCTCGTTCTCCCGCTGATCCATACGTAATTATCCTTCGTCTGCTTTTACAAGCCTAATCCTGGTCCTTACCTCATAACTTTCGGCGTCTCTCCCGAACGCTTCCTTCGGGATAACCAGATGAAACACTTTGCCGGCGTAAGCCGTGATTTCTTTGTTGTTCCACAGCTTACGGGAGCCGCCGTCTATTTCGACCTCGAATTCGTCCGACACGTCGAAGCCGAAGTCTTCGTCTGGGGATTGAGCTGCAGTCGCCGCCAACACTGCCAGCAGTGCGGCGAACACGAGGGAGGAAGACATTCTCAGCCGGATGGGTCACGCATTCATCGCCTGAAAAAGAACAAGCAAAGATGAGTGCGGTGCCAACAAGAAAATTATTTTACAATTTTTTTTTTAAAGCCCAGTTCTCAAATATTAAAGAGTAGTTTTAATTCCATGAAAGTGGAGTAAAAACAGTTTCTTGGGTGAGGATTTACTGGCGACTAGTTCCAACTAGTTTTTACAAATAAAAGAATAATAATTTGTACACACACAAAACTTTATTACAGGAATTAGTCAAAATGTCGCAAACTATAACTACATACGCAGTTTTTAATTAGCACAAGATTTATCAAAAAGGTTTAAAATTATTCAGGCTCGTAACAACTGCACATTTCTAGACATCTTAAGAGTCTCTGTGAATATTTAATAGCAGGAATAAAGTATTCAATGTGGACGTTGGTCGTATTTTCTGCTCTTCATTAAACTTGTGGAGAAGGAAAGTGAGACGGGGGTTAGGAAATAAATAGTCACATAGTCAGTTCCTAGTTTGTGTTTATTTCTAGCTAAGAAGAAACCAGCATTGTTGATGAAACATGTTGGCATTGTGCTAACTATTTTAGTGTTGCGAGTGTGTGTAATGTATTTGTGTTCAAGAGAGTCACAAATCAAAATAAAACGTTAAATGATTAATTTCAAGACTTTAGAATTATAAAATATGTAAGTGTACACACAAAAATTGTCTAATAAGTTTAAGTTAACGAAAAACGTTAAAGACAAACTGCACGCCAATCTAAAGTATCGAGAACACTCTGGAATAGGAAGAGTCTGGACGATAATAATCGAGAAGGTTTTTGGAGAGTCCAAGACAAAACAATTTATAAAATGGGCATGCAGAACTATCAACTAGTGTGGTAGTAGATTGGCATACATAAAAATCATCTGTTATTTTAAAAATAATATGACTTGTCTAACTTCAAATGTTTGCTTTTAGAACTAATTAAATAATGTGTTCCGAAAAATATTTGTCCATCTTGCATTAGTTGGAAACAATTAAACAGAAGACAAATCTATTAATTATATGTCAATGATTAAAAACTGTCATCAAAAGAAAGACTTATTACGTACCTATTCACCCGTTTTTGAAACGTAAATTCCTGATCCTCTATTTTTTATGCTTGATAATTGTTGAAACAGATATGAAATCACAAGTTTTTGATACTGGTTTTTATTCAAACCTTAATATATATTTCACCATAATGTACACTTAATGGACAATTTTACATTTGTTGTTTTTCAGTCTTTTGATCTTTTCCAAACTTAATCTCTGACAAAGTAACACATGTTCACCCAAAAAAAATATCTACACTGGCAACAGATGACATATAAATCGTTTGCACGTTCAGCAAGTGATTCAGGTTTAATGTCAAGGTTTCTATTTTTACTTTTTACATCTAATACAAACAAAAATAAAATTCATCTCACATTTCGAAGTAACAGTGCGTCTAGAAGGTACCTCAAATACCGGATGTTTTTAATATTAACAGCATAACAAAGAAGGAACAATTAACAAAAAACTAGTTTTACTTGAAATTGTTTTTGTTGCTTGCACATATTTATAACATAATTGAACTTTTAACCAATTGAAACAAAAAGATGATAATTACAATTCATTAACTCGCCAATTACGTTCTTCTACAGTTGTCAGTGATATATTGTTGTGCTTTTTGGTGAGTCATTTAGACAAAACAGCTTCGTCGGTTAAGGAATAAACTTCAAAACTAAAGTATAAAAAACTTTTAAGATGCACTTTAACTTTCTAAGACCACCAGAAAGACGAATAAATTGGTCCTTAAAACACATTGTTGATATCTCTAAAACTGAGTTGTAATTCCTCACACAGATTTGCTACGAATTGATTTGGATTTTGTGCACTCCTCAACGTGAACTGAATATATATTTAACAAAGTTTATGAAGTGTTAAGCCTCGTAATAGCTGTGTAAAAGATGTTCAGATGCTGGTTCGTCTTTATCAAATGTGGTTAGACCTATATATAAAACAGTTTATTGATTCATCACATATCTTCAGCATAATTAAGTTTAGGGTTCAGCTTGAACGCTCAATGAAACGTTGAAATTTAGTAACCTAGATTACAGGTATTAAACTTTTTCAGTTGTTTGGAAAAAACTGTCACTAATTTGGAAAAGCTTTTAAAGCTTATTTCAACTTTGAATTATTTTACTCTAAGAAATAAAATAATGTTGGTAAGCGGAATCGACTTAATAGCTATTTGTTTGATGTGTATTTAGTAATTTATCTGTGTGAGATAATGTCACTGACATTCTGGTGAGACTGAATAAATCAGTTTAAATTTCTCAACGAAATTTCGACGTTACAATAATTATTATATAAACATCATTATCATTATTTCTCTTATTTGAAGCAAATATTAGATCGCCCAAGATTTCCTTTAGAAACGTGAAACAAATTTTACACCAAAAATGTGCGTGTTATAAGGAAACTAAAATTTACAAAATGTTAAATATAAACGTCTTTCTTTACAACTTCACTCTCACGGCGCGAAACTCTTTGAAATAGAACCTGGCCGTAATCTGAAGCAGAAGCCAATGAAGGTTCTCAAAGGCGTCTATTTACAGCTGAATTACTATCTAATTTTAAAATAAATTATCTTTAAGAAAATTGATAAAACATTTATGAATATCATACTGTTGAAATTTCCTCCTGTACAGTAATATACTACGATAGTCATTTACCTACAAAACTGGTCCACCGCAAAATTTAAAAAGATGCATTAGATAAACAAAACAAAAAGTTTCCTATTATATGCACAAATAAATAATAAGAATAGTTATTTAGGTAACTAGTGCGGAAAAGGGTATTGTAATGTACGGGAATAAAATATTTTTGACGGGCTTCCACATGTTTTTTTTTTGTTACTACATTTTAGCAAAAAAAAAATCTCTGGAACTCATTTTTAGGACACCTCAGACGTAGTAAAGAAATCATAATAAATTAAAAATTACAAAAATACTCCGAAATCGTTCTCGAAAATTACAACCGTTGAAATATGCTGTATTGATCAGACGACCTAAGGAGGTCAAAACTGCAGCCTACAAATTTTTATTGAATTGCGTAACATGTTTATGAAAAATTACAGTTGATACGATGTCTGTGTTGCAGTTAATAGATGTAATTTTTTGATTACTGTTTTTGATAGATACATATTTTAACATGAAAATAATAAAAATTCGATCGCCATCATGTAAAAATTTGCTGAATTAAGCCACCAAAAGTTAAACATAATGAGATAATTAAAGTTGTATAAAAAAAAATTAGTTTTCGCAACATGTAAAACAAACAGTGCAAGAATTGAAGGGCAACATTTTATCAAAGAACATGAATTGTAATAACAGTCGTTTCGACTTCACAACTGATTTATTGTGTGGCTCCTGTCAGAAACCTTTCGCTGCAAGGGATAAAGCTTTGCTGGTTATTACTGTTAGCCAAGGATAAATTGTGTTCTGAATTTTGAAACGAATTGTTCTTGAATTTATAAAAAAATAATTGTTACGGACCAAAATTTAATGTTAAGTTTGTCCTGTAAGTATAACCTAGTGTAGTTGATTAATTGATTATTACTTAAAAAAAACGTTATTTTTTCGTAGTTCATTAATTAATTTTCATAAAAATGAAAAAAGCAATAGGTACTCTTTCCGCTATGTATTTATCAATTTATGGAATTTGCTTAATTACTATGTGAGAAACTGGTAGTAAAGGATATATGCTCTTAACAAAATGTTGAAACTATTTAACGGAATTTAAATCTCTCCAGCCTTACAGAAAAAAAAAAATATTCGTTGAAAAAAGCTCTTAAAAGCACAATGTTTCCACTTTTGATTTCATTTATTTTTTTTTTGTGCTGTATCTGTCCGATCTTTTTTTTAAATAAAATTTTAAATTGAAAAATCATTTTAATAGTATTAATTCTGAAACATAGTAATACTGCCTTTCACGCTGTAGCAATAGTGATTAATTTTTGATACGTACATTGTAACAATGTACATAACGTAGAGGTCAAGTTGTAAAACCAATACGATATACTACCGAGTAATCATTAATATTTGTAATTTTTTTGTCAGGTTGGCATCGTCTCGACCAACCAACACGTTTGCTAGACGTGCTCATGTCAAAATTGACAACTACTGTGAACTAGCGTACTAGAAAATGCCCATAATTCAGAATTGCCAACACAAAAATTTACTTCAGTAATTAACAGTCACACGGTAGTTTTGAAATTCCTTTACAATTAGATCCCAACATGACAGAAATTTTCAATGCCAAATTGTGGTTTTGAGACAAACAACATTCTCGACTTCAGTTAATGTTCTGTCAATGTTAATATTTTACGAAGCTTCTAAGAATTACTTTATATAGTTTCTTACGTAAACTGTAGAATTTGCCTAGCGGAATCCTGAGGTGATACTAACATTTTCTTAGAAATGAAAAACAGACACAGTTTCGCTATCAACCCCTGAATGAGATTCAAAGACAATTTTTAATCTATTGTAATGTTGTAGAGTTGTTTTTACGTGCAGTTATACTCCATATGTTCCAAAACAAGTATCAAAGTTCATTACATTGCAACACAGATTTAATGAACAGTTTTATAAACAGTCCAACAAAATTCTTTTGTTGCTTGTTTTATAAAAAAAAAAAACTTTTTGCCAAAATAGTGAGCCTTGAAATTTCTGCTCTCATGACTGATGAATGTTGAGTTTTTGTATTCCGAAAGACGTACCTGCGGGATATTCCTTAATTTTTTTACATAGTCGGCTTAACTTTCGTTCTTCCCCACTCAAAATCAATACAAGCAATTCAAAATTAGTACGAATTATTTTAATCTTTGCCTCTCAGCAATGAACTAATGAATAATGAGCTTAGAACGATGTTTATAAAATCGCAAATGATAGAGGAACAAGGCAAGTGACAAAATCAATAAATTTGGATTTTTGTCTGAGAAAGTTTAATAAATTGTCGAATCTTCTAATTCAAAGAGCTATTATTAAGGAAATCCTTCAACTTGTGTTTGCAAATATACTGGTGTTAGTTTATAAGTTATAATTTACTTGAAAATATTATAGTAGGTGAAAAAACAATTTGTGGAATATAAATTCACTAAATCATATTTATACTAGTGGCGTAGCACACCAAATGTAACTAGGCCCAGTTATGTTCGCTAATTTTGTAAACGATATAGTCCAATATTTAACTAGTTGTAACTTTTTGTTGTGTGCTATGAAGATCTAAAGCTTTGTACAATTGTGGGCGTTGGTGACCACCTATGTAACAAAACAGACTCTAAAAAAAATTAAACCTTCATGTTCTTATTATAAATTTTAATATTTTCGATATTAAAAGGGCGCGCTTACTGTAGCAGAGAGTCATAGGACGGAACTACTGTAAGCTTAATAGAAACACATCCATAAATCGCAGCACGGAAAAACTCATGTTTTCCTTAAAAATATTTACCTTATTTTATGAGCTCAAACACGAAACCGCACACAAAATTCGCACATTCTACTCTGTCCCTCGCTTTCCGTTCCTCGTCAAAACCACCCCACAGTTCCCTTTGAATTTATCCTTGCATTCAACTCAACACCTGCTCATCTAACGCCACGCTATGCACTTTTCGGCCACAAATAAGCACAATTTCAGATTTCCGACCAAACCGCGCTAAATCTGCAAGCCCAGTTGAACAACCTCTCCAGTCCAGTGGGTGGTATTTTAAGAAAAGCACTGCGCCGGGTACTGCGACCGTGTACTCACGCGAATAAATTTCCACCAACATGTGACTAAATAAACAGACGAGTAGATGCGCGAGACGCCGCTGGGGACAGTCTTCGCACTCAACTGAACATTAGACATTACCGCATTACCGTTTACCGATTCAATATACCCACTAAACTACATTGGTATGCACAAAGCGGATGCACACCTTGACGGGTACTTTGTCAGCGGAATTTATTGTAGAGGCTGCGTTTCATATTTGTAAGGAAATTTCCCGAGGTGTCTTGTCTGACTGGGAAAGAGTATAATTTAATTGGTGGCCGAAGCGTGCTGGGACCGTTATTTTACGAGACGGATTTTGCTTACAGTGCTTGGAAGTCGTTGGGTTGTTATAGTGCACCAACGAGAATAGTGCAGGAACCTTGTCAAGGAATAATGCAGCTTATTATCTGTAAATTATGAAATAGAGGCTTTTTGTTGCATTTGGCTGGAAAGCTTCTCGTAAACAGAACCGGCTTAGGTTTAGCGGTATTATTTTAAGATGCTCTTTGTTCACAAATGAAGGGGTTGGAAGAGTCAAAGGCATAAAGCCACTATTTTCGTTGATATACTATACTAAGTTTGGGTAAGTAAGACGTTTGCGGTAATTTTGAGAAAAAAAAATTGGAATGGTTATAAATGATTGCAAATGATTCTCACTAATTACAATTATCAGCAGTTTTTTTTTTTCTAATCCAAAACGTGTAACCGCATGCACTTTTTCTGTCGATTCTGAAAATATTTATATGTAGTTTTTTCACCACGTTACACGTTAGAATTGTTTTGTTTATAATAATTTAAAAATCTTTTTTCCAACACTATTGTATCTCACGTACAAAATGTTCCAGTTAAAATTCCACGACCTTATATATTGAGAACGCATGAGTTTCAAAATAATAAAGTGTCGTGTTTTAAGGTTGTACGACGACAATAAAATAATCAACTTATGACAAATAATATTTATTATCACCCGAGTATTTAAATCTGAGCAGGAATGGGTTTTTCTTCCGAACTACATTTTGTTCCAATACCACTTGTCCCATCATCGTTACCCTAATATTTATTCCTGAATACTGGCGTAAAAAATCTTATTTAACAGAGTTGGTATTTATATTGTAATCTTAATCCCGATGTAAAAAGTCGTCTTGGCCACTTTTTTTCGAGTCCCTTGTAGCTTGTCAGTGTTTCTTTATCATACGGAACAGAGAGAGCAAGATGCACTTGTGAATTTTCTCACTGTAAAGAAAAATTTCACATGTTTTTTGTAGCATGTTTTAAGAACTTCTACGAATCCACGACCTGTGGTGTTAAAAAATAAACCGAAAACTTATAACGCAATCTGAAAACTACTAATTCATTTACCTATAATACCGAGTGATTTTTTTTTATTTCTGATCTAGTTTTTTTCTAGGTGTGAACATACAACTTCTGTTGTGCTGAGTTGCCCACAATCTCGCGTTTTAACATAACCAAAATTGTGCTGGGTTGCTAGATACGAAATTAAAAAAATCACTCGCTATTAGTAGTTAATAACTTTACACAGAATTCAAACGAAATCCGCCAGGAAAAAAACGATTATCGATTTGATCCAAATTAACTGATGAAATACAACGTTCTCTTATATTCCAATCAGTTCAACCAAGTAGACGAAATATAATCGCGTAGTTATTGAGCTTTTGAACGTTTATTTAAAAAACAATGCATATTTATATTCACAACACTGCACTGTTTACTTATGAAATATTTAGCTTCAGTGCTGTGAGTTAAACTACATGTGCAGTAATGGTTTACAAATGCAGTAATGCACTACTTTTTTCCACACTTTGGATGTAAAGTTTATGCGATGATGTGATTAAGAAAATAGTTGGCAACTTGTTGATTTCCAGAAGAATCGACTGACAATCTGTTCTGGAATAATATATACAGAGTTTTTTATAAGAAGTTTGAACTTTAAACGTTTCGGGTGATATTTTACACCGGAACCATAACAGGATTCGATTTTTTGAAGGCAGTGGATGCTGATGAAATACATGTAACATACACAATTTTTGTAAAAAAACAAAAAAAAAATGAAAACATCTAGATACGATTCTCATACTAAACGTTACGTGTTACATTTTAGTAATAAACGAAACACGAAAAAAAAGTTGTGATTCCCTTTTGGCTGCATCTCTCAGGATGTGTATTGATATAATTTGAGAGTGCTAACCGATTAAATCCACTTTCAAAATTTCGTTTATTTAAGGAAACACACGGGACGTAACAAACAAATTGAAAAACAGAAATGCATTAAACTTCATTCATGTAGCTTTAATGGATAAATAGGTAGAGTCTGTAAATTATGTATCTTTAAAGCTTATCAGCACGCATAGCTATTAAACCTAATTTAAAACCGTTGAAGAACGATTAATTAGTGAAACTAATTAGTAACCTGCAGTAAATTTAGAATGTCTCAATCGGAAAACAGTTTATATCGGAAATTGCAATACCTTATCCGTTTCAATATAACGACAATATTTTGGCAATTCGTTGGCTCCGTGAAATCCAATCTTTTGCTCAGTATAACAAGCGATAAAAAAAACTCTCTCGTTACTAGTTTTTTTCAGGAATGTAGGTCTCGGAGCACCACCAAATATGCTCAGATTCATTGTCATCTTATTGTCACATTTGTTGTTTGGATTTCCTGTTTCGTTGCTTCTTTGTGACATTAATTTTAATTCAAGTTTGCATCACATCACATCGTTATAACCTCACTTTTTCTGACATTTCGTGCCGTTGGGCTTTTCACTATACCACTAAAAATATTTATCCAAATCAGCAAATAAAAAAAAATTAACCCAAAGATAATAATTAACTGTATATACATACAAAAAGCTATGTTTGCTACAAAAACATTTTTGATAAGGAAGAACACTGTATTTAAATATAATTTGTGTATAGTACTTGTTAGAATATTTTGTTTAAGCATGTCTGAGAATAGTTTGATGCATAAATAATTCATCGACATTAGCAACACTAATAAATGTTTAGATTAAATTCTGATTTTTGACGTAACTAGTATAATATTAGAAAGGTAAATATTTATCGTTCTTGTTTACTGAAACCACATTGTTGCTGAAGGGACCATTTCCACAAAATTTTACATCCCACATAAACAGATATTCATTATTATACTTACGTTTGTTGTTGATATTTTACAAGTAAATATGCATAATTAATACTTTAGTCAATAAGAAAGTACTTTTCGAACCTACAGCTTATTTGTAGAAACAATTCCCCAAATATTAAGAAAAAATGATCGTAAAACACTCCAATCTAAAGAACTTTTTTATTATATTAGTAAATCTATAAAAAATTCATTACGTTCCAAGTTCGTCGTATCCTGTAATTGACACCTCTGTCAAACTTGGTGTATATTTTAGACTAAATTACTTAAAGTAATCACTTGGCAGGTTTAAGACCCCTAAGAACTTCAAAACAAAGAATTTTTCACCCACAGTGTCGTTAACACGCGTCCTCTTAACCTCTGCCATAATTCCACCATAAACATTTTACGGTAAATCCAAAGTGCATTTCTAGATCTGCAAAACTACGTAAAACCCAATTGCACCATTTTTATGAACTCTCCATTAACAAATGAAATTCTGGTTTATCGGTATTTTCACCCGACCTCTGAATCAAAAAATAAAACTTTATCGCGTTCGTATTTATTTGTCTCATTATTTATAGTCCATAGTTTCTGCATAAGCTACCGATAACCAGCTTAAAATTAGAATATGACATGCATCCTAGAGTGATCAGACATCACTTAAATCTACATTTCCCTGAAACTCCAATTGTCAACAGTTGTGTATACAAGGATGGCACAACCTTCACCAGTAAATGTCGCTTCAAGTATCTTCCGACTATTTCCGTTTCTGATCAGTTAATTGATCATTCCGCGGGTAATTTTTGTCGGTTTATGTTAGAATTACTCATTGTTTATACAGAACATTGCGGTTGCTAGTTTCATTGAATCAGTGCTTGGTTTATGTCTGCGGAAAGAAATGTATTACCATTTGAAGAAAAGCAATGTAAACAATGCGGTAATCGCACTTGATTTATTGTGCAATCCGCAGATTGAGGAAAACTTGCAAATGAGATATTTGCTAATTATAAGATGAGGAGTGCTTCAATTTTGGTCGATAGAAGATGTATGTATGTGACTGTGGATAAAAAATAGGCTTCTATAGTAAGTGAAAAATATGTTTTTGTTTTAATGTTACGGATAATGCCAATACCGATGCATTTTTGTGTAATGTAACTTTGGGAAAATTGAAAATATACTATTTCAACGATACGGATAAGTTAGTACCATTTCACCAAATCAACAAGTCTGCATGAAATATCAACTACAACCAACTGGACACACTTTAGTCAATATAATAAGCCATGGACAGAATTTGGGCTCCTATTATTTTTATTATTTATCAATGACATAGTAGAAGTCATAAAGAGTGATCAATTTCCGGACACCAACCGAAGAGAAAGAAGAATAAATGAATTCTTCTTACTGACGTAAAATTAAAAACAGAAAAACTGAAGGAACAATAGAAAAAACAAATAAGAAGAAGGAACGAAAAAAGAAGACATACAGAGCAGAAACCTTGGAAACGGAAAGCGGAAAAGTAAGACAGAAAATCAATGAGATAAAATAGAGACGGCGATATCAATGACAAAAAAGGAAACGTCAAATAAATATCAACCACACGAGAAAAATAAATGATTGGACAACATATGTATTGGAGAAACTAAAGTGTTTCTAAAGATATTTGGAAACAGAGTTAAATACTTTCCAGCGGGATATAAATATGCCCCTACCACAAATGTTTCAAAGTCCCGTGCCGCAAATCAGAATCCTACATTTCACTGCGGACCGGGTTGTACTCGGATACTTTTATGGGGATTAAGCTCTATAGCAGGCAGTTGAACATTGACCAGGGACTAATAAGACTCATAAAGTGATTAATTCTGTTTTCAAATATCTTTAGAAATACTGTAACATGAAA